CGGCCCCGGGGGCGCCCATGCCATGGAGAAGCTGGCGGCCGGGCTGGCCGGCCTGCGCTGGAGCATGGGCGCCTTCCCGCTCGACCTCATCGTCAGCCGCTGCCGCCTGCCCACGCTCGCCTGCCTCGGGCCAGGTACCAGGGTCGCTGGGGATGCGGACTGGGGTGCACGGGGAAATCGGGGGCTCCCCAGGCAAGTGCTAGCGGGACTGTGAGGGGGATGCGGACCCTGTCCTCCCGGCTCCCCAGTGCGGGCCCCGCGCGGCTGCCGGAGCGCCTCCCTTGGAGACCCGGGACCCACCGGCCCAGGTCCACCTCCTGGGCCCCGCGGACCGGCGCGGGGACAGAAACCGGGGACAGGGCCCGAGACAGAGTTTTCCGGCCCAGCTGGAGCCCGGAGTGCGGCCAAGACACCGCGCCCGCCCCGTCGGTGCACCCCTTTCCCCCGCCGCTTCTCAGCCCCCGCCCCGGCCGCGCCCCCCTCTGTCCCTTTGTCTCCGGCCTCTCACCTCTATCCTCCCGCATCCCTTGGCCTCACACTCTGCCTCCCCCCCACCCGCCGCCTCCACCCAGCCCCTCTCAGCTCCCCTTGGAACTCTTCTCCAACCCTCTTTTCGCGTCCCGGGGAGCAGCCTGGGGTCCTCACGGGTGGGCAGACCACCTTCGGGAGAGGCCCAAGTGAATGGGGTCTGCTGCCGGGCGTGCCCCCCAGGACCCCCAGCCCTTCCCCACATCTCGTCCCACTTTTCCATGGGGTCTGGGGCCCCCGGCTGCTCTGCTAATGGGATGGTGCTTGGGGGCCCGAGCGGGGACCCCCGGAGGCTGTGCGGAGCAAGGGGACCGTTTGGGGGAAGGGGGGGGCTGCTTGGCTGGGGGAGGGGCGGGAGCCGGGGCTGGCAGCCAGGCCGGGGGTTTTGTGTATGAGAAGAATAGGGGTTTGGCCCGCGTTGGCACATTCGCTTCCCTGAATGCTAATGGGGCCCGCGGCCCGGGCTCCTCTTCTCCCCGCCGCGCTCCGGAGCCCCTCCTCTGGCCCGAAGCAGCAAGGAGTGGGCACAGTGAGCGTCAGCGTGTCCCGTGAGCAGCCTCTGTGGGAACGTGCATGCCGCGGACGTCGGGCAGGGGTGCCCAGCAGTCCAGCGTCTTGTTCTCTGGATCGGCGCCGGATGGTCAGCGCCGGATGGTCAGCGTGTGATTCTGAGCCTGTGTCAGCAGCAAGGCTGTGTATGTCTGCGTGTGAATGGGACGTGCTGCCCCGGGTTCCTGGCCACTTCCCACACAGGTTCTTTGGCATCTCACCATCCTGGGTGTCTTTTCTGAACTCCTCAGTCTGGGTGGGGCCTCCTTTGGGTTCTCTGACACTTCATGGCACCTTGTCTTGTCCCCTACTGAGCACCCCCTTATAGCGGTCAGTTTATTGTCTTCCCACTGGGCTGCAGGCTCCTTGAGGAGGGCATCCCTGCCTAACAGATTATGGATTGAATGAATGAATGAATGGGTGAGTGAAAGAACAACTGGTGTGGTGGCTCAGCTGTCTGTGACAGTGTGTGGCTATGGCTGTGGTCACCATCAGGGTATGAATGTGTGATCAAAATTGTGTGGCCTTGAAGGTCCCTGTGTGCCCCTGCGTTTGGGAGGGGCCCCTTGGTGGGACCACGAGACTGAGTTGTGTCCTTTGGGTGACAAGCATCTGTCACTGTGGGCCGTTGTGGTTCAGCTGTTGGTGACCATGACGCGTGGCCACTGGTGTGTGCCTGTGTGGCTGTGGCCAGCAGGCTGGGCCTAGGAGAGCTCCGAAAGAAGTTGGCAGAATCCAAGGAGAGGTTCCTCTGCCCCAGGAGGCTAGGAGTTGCGGAGAAGGGCTCAGACGACACCCTGCCCTGCGTTCACACACACAGATACACACACAGAGTGCCGCCCTGGCCCCCACACATACTACATGCATATATTTCATAGAGCCCCCAGCCGTCAGAGTAAACCATTTCCCATTTGGTTGGCAGAAACTTAGTAAGTTATGTCTGAAGGGGCTGCGAAGGAGGCGTTCCCCACCCCCACCCTGCCCACCAGCTGCAGCCAGGAGCCGGCCCCTTCGGCCTCCTGGAAGCTGGGCCGCCTTTCCTGCTCCCCTGGAAACCGTTGCTGGGGTTGGAGCCTCCCAGACCCAGGCCCCTCCCAACTCTCAACACCTCTGCCCCAGCACAGCTTCCCCCAGTCCCCTGGGCTCCCCCTTCCTGCCTTCTGAATCTGCCCCCCTAATCTCTAAGCCCAGCCGTCATCCTGTGGCTGGGAGGATGAGGGCCGGGAGAGGGAGAGCCAAGGAGCCGCTTCTCTGAGATGGGGTTGGGGGTTTCTGGGGGCCTCTCTCCTTTCTTTGAGGTCCCCTGAAAGTAAGAGATTGCCCGCGGCAGTGGGTGAAAAGGAAGGCTGCCCATGGCAGAGCCAGGAACCAGCTCCTCTAAGCCCTGCCATCCTCCTGACCCATGCGTGGCTCTGGGGGAGCTCTCACAGCTGGGACCACAGGGGACAGTCCCTTCTCAGCCCTCTCCCTCCTCGCTAGGCCTAGGCACTGACCTGGGGGCTGAGGATTGTGCTGATGTGGATTTGCCTGGTCCTGAGGCCCAGCTCAGGTGTGTCCTGCTCAGTAAAGTCTCCCTTCCTCGCCCCACCCCCCGTCAGAGCTGCTGCTGCCCTCTCTGAGTCCCCAGACACCCTCCCCTCAGGGCCTCAAACTTGCCATATTCTCTGTTACATCTCTTCCCACCTCCCTGGGGGCCTAAGGGCTCCTGGAGGGCAGGGGCTGGCTGGCCTCATCCGCTGGGAGCCCCCAGCCCCAGCACAGGGCCAGGGACAGCAGACACTCCAGTCGAATGATGAATGAGGGGCTGAGGCTGGGCTGGGAGCAGGGGAGTGGGGGCCCCATGGGGAGACTCACAGCCTGACTCACAGCCCCAGGCCACAGCTGGCAGCCGGCCTGTCCCTGAGCTTCGCTGAACTGGACAGGATCGTGAGGAGCTGTCCCCAGGCTGGGTCTTGGTGAGGAGGTCACCCTATTCTTTCTGCTGCTTCTAACAGTCTCCCTTTCCCTCCTCTTCTGCCTTCCTTTCCCCTCCCAGGGGAGTACGCGGAGGGCGTCAGTGAGCGAGACATCCTGCTCATCCACTCCTGCCGCCAGTGGACAACAGTGACAGCCCACACCCTGGAGGAGGGCCATTACGTTATCGGGCCCAAGATCGACATCCCGCTGCAGTACCCAGGTGTGCCCAGCCAGGGACAGATGGCATAAAGCCAGTGGGGGTGTAAGCAGGAGGGGCTGGGGCCAGGGGTAGAGTGGGGAATACTTGGGGGAAGCTGTCGCTGACCACCCTTCCTTGGAGCTGCAGGATGAGCAGGACAAGGCTGGCGGGGCTGTGGGCAGGGTTAGGGTTAGAGTTGGGGCCCAGAGGTTTTCATAGCGTTTAGTGGAGCCCGGGGTTTCTGGAGAGGTGCGCACAGGTTTACAAACCTTTGATTCACATTTTATTTTAAAGTAGATTTTAAAGTAATGATTAAAAAATACCCACATGCTTAAATTGCTACAGGCCAAATCTTAACCCTAAGTAGAGACCTTCAGCATGTGCCTTGTGCTGCCTTATTGACCCTTTTTCATGCAGACCCTCAAAGAGAACATCTCCTGCCAGGGTCCTCCTGGTACTATGCAACCAAAACTCCAGAAACGAAGGGGTGCTCGGGCTGGTTAGATGCTGCACCTGTCAGCTCTAATCCTGTTTTCCCAATTTCCCAATTTTTCTGTTAAACCTATTGTTTTCAATGATTAACTTTATGAGTGAATGCTAAAACTATAGACTTTTAAAGATATGCTAATTAACTACTTTTATCTGTTTTACATATGATGTTGACGTATAATAAGATTTTGTTTGAAGAAAGGATTCTGCTTCCAAAAAAGGAAGTATAGCCCTTTCATTTTACAGATGATGAAACCGAGGGCCTAAGGAGGGAAGGGACTTGCCCAGGGTCACACAGCTAGGGAGGGAAGAGCAAAGGCCAGACCCAGGGATGCTGACTCAGGGCTGTGTCTGCTGTACCACGCCAGGAAGTCATAATTACTGTCCCCTGGGTCGGAGGGATGGGAGTCTGGTGGCTCTATCCCAGAGACACCTGCATGCAAGCCCAGGATCCCACAGCTACTGCGTGTTAAACACGTACTGAATCCCCATCACTGGGCTGAGGACTTTTGTTGTTTCATCCTCACGGCAACCCTGTGAGAAAGTCTTATCAGGTTCATTTAATTCACAAGGAAACCGAGGCTCCAGGAGTTTCCATGGCTGGCCTGGTTCTGTGTTTTCTGTAGGAGGCTGGGAGGGTACCCAGTCGCCTCCTCACAGGTACCCCTGCCCCTTTCTGGCCCTGGGTCCCTCCTGAGCCAGTGGGACGGGGCTAAGCAGTTTACACGGGCTTCTGCTCTTGACAACGGTCCTGTGAGGTGGGTACCTGCACCCCCACCCCCCATTAGAAGATGAGGAAATTATTAATAACTCAAGTGTCTTTTTGACCTAGGGTTCTATCCCAGGCCTGGAGCCTTTGGGAGTCTGCTCAAGCTAGAAATTTCCCAGCTTGGCTCAGGGAAAGGTCCCGGGTCCTCTTCTTGGGATTAAAAAAACAAAGGTTGGGAAAAACCCTCACTGACAGAAATGTGACTTCAGGGACTTTGTCCATTTCAGTTGTATCATTAAAACTCCGGAAGCCAAGGCACAGTCTCCCAGGGCACTGTGGGTCCAGGGAACTCGTAGCTCTTTCGCCCATCTCTTCTGGGGCCCCTGCATGTGTATGTGGGTGGTGGTAAGGGTGGGCGGCAGCCACCCCCTGCAGGGGGAGGGGAGGCAGAGGCCCCCTAGATGGGGGAAGGGCAGGGGCTGGGTGCAGGTTAATGCGGAGGCTCTGAGTGCATGGAGGCTCCACGCCGATTCCTCCTGATGAATTAATAATGGCACGGGGTGGGCAGGGCAGCCGGCTGCAGACCTCGGAGAGAGCCAGACTGCAGGCGAAGGCAGGGGAGGGGAGGAGGGCGGTGCCCCCTGCGGGGGTGGAGGGCGCTATCCATTGACCAGGTCTCCAGGCTGTGGCTCACTGGTCCCAGTGTCAAGGAGACAGACCCCCAGTGGTCCTGCTGAAGGGGCCAGGTGTTTTCCTAAGCAGTGCCATTTCCCAAGCCTTGGCTTTGTGCCTTGCAGAGCACTTGGCAGATGCACCTGTGAGCCAAGTAGCATGTTTCCATTTTACAGATGGGAAAACTGAAGGGCAGAGAGATTAAATAATTTGTCCAAGGTCACATGGTTGGCAGAACTGGGATTCAGCCAGGCCTGTCCAACTCCAAAGCCTGTGCTTTACCCACGTTCTTTATCGAGCCTGTGCTGTGGGTCAGGTGCTGGGAGGACGGGGTGGTCAACAGGACCCTGCTCCAGCCCTTAGGTGCTTTAGGCTGGGAGGAGCAGGGCAGACAAATGTGTTCTGGGCAGGCAGGGCCAGGGGGCAGGGGCAGGCAGGGTGGGGCAGGTCCCTAGAGCCATGGGGGACGGGGAGGCAGGAGAGGAAGCTGCCCCTGGGCCAGGCTGCAGGGTGGAGGAAAAGGCTTTCAGGGGCCAGAGCACCGCTCCCAGGAGGTCTCCCTTCCTTCCTCCCAGCAGTAATGACCGGTACTGGGCTGCAGGCTGTGGCCAGCGGGGGTGCTGGGTGCCATGGTTACATCGATCTTCCCTGCCACATCCTCCCCCGGCTCTAGCCCTGACTTGGCTCCAAATCTCCCCACAGGGGGCAGTGGGCATCTCTCCCTGCCTGGCTTCTTAGGGTTGGGGGGTTGTGTGTGGATATGGGGGAGGACGTTGGGTGAGGAAGGGGGGCTGCTCACTGCAGGATGGTGGCAGACCTGCTCCTGCTTCTTGACTCCCAGACCCCTGCTCCTTGCTCAGCCCCCTCAATATTTTATCCCTCCTGCCCTCTAGGGCCGTGGCACATCTGGGGCATCTTCCCACGGGGGTCCAAGGGCGGTTAGGACTTTCTTCTGGGCACTTCCCCTTCTCTTTCTTGGCTCTCATTTCTCTCCCTGCTCCTAGATGTGGATGCACAGGCCCTGCCTGTGGCCCCCAGCTCTTTATACCTGCACCAAGGGGGTCTCAGTCTGGGTCTCTGGCTGGGTTTGGGGGGTCCAGAAACCCCTGGCACTGTATGTAAAATTGTGTGTGTGTGTGTTCATGCTAGGAGTACAGTGTGAGCATTTTTCTGGGATGGGGGTCTCCAAAGGGTCAAGATCCTCTGCTCTTCCTCATCCCTGAGCCATCTTACTTGCCCACAGCAGAAGCTGCCACCTGTGGGCTGGTGACTTCCAGTCTGTTACTCTGACCAGACATCCCCAGGCTTTGCACCCACACCAGCGGCACCTGCCCTAGGAGCACTGCCTGGAGGCCCCTCCCCTGGCCTCCCTACATCGGCTCCTGCCCCACAATGGTTTCCTTCTGAGGTCCGAGTTTGGATTAACAGCTCTGCCATCTCCATTTCTGACCAGGCTTGTGGCCTCAGTACCCCATTCTCAGTCCCTTCCTTCCCCACCACCCCATTCAGTCACCCAAGTGTTATGAGCCTCCGTTCCAAGTCTCTCTTGGTCTGTTCACTTTTTGCTATTTTCTGGGTCTTCTCCAGAACACCTTGCTAGAGATTTACCTGACTGGGAGACTCCATTGGGTCCCATTTCTTGCAGAATAAAGTCCCACTGCCTAGCAAGACATTCAGAGCATTTCAAACTCCATTGCAGTCTACTTCCCCTCTTGTCTTCCACTCCCCAGGGCATGCAACATTTGGAGCAGGCAGCATTTGGGGCAGGCAGCTGCTTTCCTGTCTCTGCTCTTGCTGTTTCTTCTGCAGGGAAAGCCCATTCTGTAAAATCCCTTTCGTTCATAAGGTGCGGGTGAGCGATCCCCTCCGACTCCGCCAGGCAGGTCTCTCCCACCCAGAAGTCCTCTAGCTCTTTCATAGCATCAGTCTGTTGTAGTACTTGTCATATCCGCCACCACTGGATACTTCCCGTCTTGCCCACTCTATCTGGATCTCCTTGAAGGCAGACAGTATTTGATGCAGATTTGTACCCTCTTTAGGGCCTAGCGTAGTGTTTGACACGTGGTGGCTGCTCTGTAAATGTTTGTGGAACAAATAAATAAATGAACTATGACTGAAGCAACCATGGGGAAGACGTTCACAGCTAGAGTCACCGTGTCTTCTCTTGCCCAGCTGTTCCCTCCCCGACACGAGGCTCTCTTCCTACTGTATAAAGCCGAGGAAGAGGCCATCCATCTGATGCCAGGGCGGGTCACAGCCTGGCTGTCTTTGTGCTCATGTAGGTGTGCACATAGAAGGTATGTGGCCAGTGAGGTGAGACAGTTTATATAGAGGTGGCAGCTTCACAGACTAGCATGACTTCTTTAAAGTCTGTGTCTGCTGGGGGCATCTGCTGAGCCAGCCAAAACACAGCCCCCGACCGCAGGTTGGGAAGGCCTCCTCTGCGGGTGGTGGCTTTGTTGGGCTCAGGTCAGAGCCTGTGGGACAGTGGGATTGGATATTGGACCGGGGCAGAGTCTGGGAGCAGAGCTGGGGTCACGGTGGCTCTCCCAGGGCATTCAAGGCCCGGGGCTGGACCCTGCTCTGCCCAATGCATCCATGTGGATCAGCGTCCAAGGTGGATGCACAGGATGCCACATCCAGGCAGGGCCCAACATCCTCTGTCCCAGCCCCTTTAGATGAGGACCCAGGGGCCCAGAGAGGGAAAGGACTTGTCTAGGATCAGAGGAAGTCAGAGCGCAGGCTGGGACCAAGCTAGGAGCCATACTGGTGCTTGATCAGGGGCCAGCTTTGTGTCCAAATCTTTGGGGCCACTGCAGTGGGTTTCTCTGGGCAGGTAGCCGCTAGCCTCACTGCACACCCACAGGCTCTCTTGAGGTGAGGGCTGGGCTCTAGTTGCTAGGGGTCTGTGCTCACCCCCTTGCTAAGGCTTGAGCCAGGTGACCAGCCCCCTACGGCCATGCTGGTGAAAACCTGCCCTTCTGCCCACCTGAGTCCCAGAGGGGCTGGCTGAGATGATGGTAGCAAGGAGTAGGGACCATGAGCACTCTCAGGATGCAGGCTCCTCACAGGCAGGCCCACCGCAGCAGCCTTTGTGCCCCCTCTGCAGGGAAGTTCAAGCTCCTGGAGCAGGCCCGGGATGTGCGGGAGCCAGTGAGGTACTTCAGCAGCGTGGAGGAGGTGGCCAGCGTCTTCCCAGACCGCATCTTTGTGATGGAAGCCATCACCTTCAGCGTCAAGGTCAGTCCTTCCTGTAGCAGGCACCGTGTCCCCACACCACCCCTTCCCCCAGGGGCAATCCTGACCCTGGCTAGAGGGTTGCCCTTAGGATCCATGAGGGAGAGTGGCTTCTGGGGACCCCTTGAGGGCCTTTGGCACAATCAGGCCACCTCAGAAGAGCAGGATGTAGGACTCACTGGTGAAGGACTTCTGGGGGAAGTAGAAGCAGTGGGGACTGTGGGGAGGGGTCATGCCCTGACTTGGAAACCTTTCAGTGCAGTCTGTCCCCGGCTGCCCAGCACCCACTTGCAGAGGTGGTGGTGGTGGTGGTGGTGGTGAGCAGGCGGTGCACATGGTGCACATGGTCCCCGCTGGGTACAGATACCTCTTTGCTGTCTACAAACCCTCTTGTTCTTCACCGATTCATTTCTTTTCCTAGTGACCTTGTTGGATGGGTGGGGCATTATTATCGCCCAAATAGTAAAGACAATGATAATAAAAGTTGACATTTACCAAGTCCTTTCAAAGTATGTCAGTGTACATAGCCTTTTTGATTCCGCAGCAACTCTTGGGAGTAACGGTTATCACAGGCAGCCACTAAGGCCCAGAGAGGCAACTCGGTTAAGGCTGCACAGCTCCCTGGGCCTCTCCAGGAGGGAACGTGGGGCTCCGACCCACAGTCCAGGGCTCTTGATCTGGTCTCAGTCCTGGGAGGGCGGCTCTCTTGTCCGGGACGGCCGTGTGGCTTTTCTCGGTCGGGCTGAGGCCTCGCCCTGTCTCTGGGATCCCCAGGTGGTGTCGGGCGAGTTCAGCGAGGACAGCGAGGTGTACAACTTTACGCTGCACGCAGGCGACGAGCTCACTCTGATGGGCCAAGCGGAGATCCTGTGCGCCAAGACCACCAAGGAGCGCTCGCGCTTCACCACCCTCCTGCGCAAGCTGGGGCGGGCCGGGGCGCTGGCCGGGGTGGGCGGCGGCGGCCCGGGGGGCGCGGGGACCGCGGGCGGTGGGGGCGCCAGGCCCATCAAGGGCAAGATGCCTTGCCTCATCTGCATGAACCACCGCACCAACGAGAGCCTGAGCCTGCCCTTCCAGTGCCAGGGCCGCTTCAGCACGCGCAGCCCGCTGGAGTTGCAGATGCAGGAGGGCGAGCACACGGTGCGCGCCATCATCGAGCGCGTGCGGCTGCCGGTGAACGTGCTGGTGCCCAGCCGGCCGCCGCGCAACCCCTACGACCTGCACCCGGTGCGCGAGGGCCACTGCTACAAGCTGGTCAGCATCATCTCCAAGACGGTGGTGCTGGGGCTGGCGCTGCGCCGCGAGGGTCCTGCGCCGCTGCACTTCCTGCTGCTCACGGACACGCCGCGCTTCGCGCTGCCGCAGGGCCTGCTGGCCGGGGACCCGCGCGTCGAGCGCCTGGTGCGCGACAGCGCCTCCTACTGCCGCGAGCGCTTCGACCCCGACGAGTACTCCACGGCCGTGCGCGAGGCGCCCGCCGAGCTCGCAGACGACTGCGCCAGCCCGCGCCGCGCGCGCCTCTGCCTGCCCGCGCCGCGCGCCCCCGCGCCCGCCCGCGTCCCCGGCCCCGCCGCGCCCGTGCCCGCCGGCGACGGCGACCAGGAGTACGTGAGCCCCGACTGGGCCGGCGCGCCCGAGCCCGCCGCGCCGCCCGCCGAGATCCCCTACGAGGAGCTGTGGGCGCACCAGGCGCCCGAGGGCCACGCGGAGGAACGGGCCCGGCCGCCCCCAGGCCCAGACCTCATCTCCTTCGGGGCCGCAGGGTCGCCCCGTCGGGAGCCTGAGGCGCCGCCGCCTCCCGTGCCGCCCAAATCCGAGGCGGTGAGTGACCGCGCTCCAGACCAGAAGGGTGGGAGCCGGAGGCGAGCTCCGTGGGCTCTGGCCTTGGGGAGGCCGCCCAGCCTGCGGGCCTGAGCCCCAGCCCTGGAGAGACAGACTGGCAGAGGTGTGGGGAAGGAGAGAAGAAAATGGGCAAAGACACGCAACAGCATTTGTAGTAAGGGGTACCAGGGGCGGTGGCACCGGACTGTGGGGACAAAGGTGCCAGTTAGGACTCTAGCCACAGAGAATTTGGTAAACAGTGTTACCCAGAAGGTTCCACGGAACAGGAGTCCTTTAGGTTGTCCAGTGGAAAGGAGGGTCCTTGGTGAAGTGAGTTTAGAAAATGTGGGATTCCCAGCCCTCTCCATCCGCCGCACGTTGGAGTCACGGAACATTGGTATATCAAGGGTCTGAAAAGTCCTGCACTAAGGAAACCCGTTTATCTTCGTTTAATGCAGAATTCCCAAACTTGTTGGCAGAATATTTTCCTCTGCCTGTAGCACCCCTCAGCATCTGGTGAAGTCCACTTTGGGGTGCTTTACCTATAAGAAGGGGATCCAGATGGCAGATGCTGTTTCTTCCCTTTGTCCCCCTCTGCCACACCTTTTCCTTCTTTCTCCTTTTCCTTGAGGAGGGATGTGTCTGTTTCTCTGATTGCTTTCCATCTGCTTCTGTGTTCTTTTTCTTACACTCGTGACCCGTTTCCGAGGAGTAGGAGGCAGTGTGTGTGCTGTGGGAGCGTGTGGGCACGTGAGCTAGGCCGGAGGGGCTGGAAGGGGTGGGGTGGGTGGCTGGCTGGGGCAGCAGTTGGGGAAGAAGGCAAGATGTCTCTTGGCAAGAGGGGCAGGTGTCTGTCCCAGACACTCCCTTGCCCTGGTGCTTGAGGAGGGGAAGATAAGGAATGTCAGCTGCCTGGAGACTGAGGCAGAGTCATGGCCCTCTGCTTGCAGGTGAAGGAGGAGTGTCGCCTACTCAATGCCCCACCTGTGCCTCCCCGGGGTGGCAGTGGCAGTGACCGGCTCTCGGGCAGCCCTCCGGTACCCCCCCGCTTCCCCAAGCTGCAGCCTGTCCACTCGCCCAGCTCCAGCCTCTCCTACTACTCCTCTGGCCTCCAGGATGGGTGAGTCCCTTCCTTCTCTTGGTCCTGGGCTCTCCTAGGGTGGACCGAGGTAGGGGAGGGTGGGGAGGGGAGTACAGTGCTGAGGAGGAAGCAGCCTTCAGGCCTGGGTGGTTCCGAGGGTGCAGGTCCCGGTGCAGTAGCTGAGGGAGAGGAAACTTCTGTCCAGCATCTGGGGCCTGGGGCCCAGCGGCCTGCTCTGCCACCTTCCTGCTTCACTTGTTTCTTTCCTAAATGATGAGGGTCGGATAGGAGCAGTGCTCTGCTTCCCTCTGCCGCAGGATAGGGTGCTCCTTGCCAATCTCAAATTTTTATTTAATTCAGTTTATTCTAATTTCCACCTGTGTTTTCTGTCCTGGACTGGGAGATGCTGGAATGAAAGAACAGGGTGATCCCAGAGGGTCCCAGGCCTTGGGGCTGGGGCACAGGCCAGTGCTGCTAAGACTGGTGGTTTGCTGCGTTGTGTGTGACTCTGTCGTGTTCCCTCTTGCTCTGCCTTTCCTGTTCTGTGTACCTGTATCTTTCTCTGCCTGCAGGGTGGGTTCCCGCAGTGGCAGTGGCTCCCCGTCACCGGATGCCTACTCGCTCTATTGCTACCCGTGCACCTGGGGAGACTGCAAGGTGGGCGAGTCCTCTAGCCGCCCGCCCCCTGGACCCCTGCCCTCTACCACGCAGCCCAGCCAGGCCTCCCGTGCCCTTGCAGAGCCCCTGAGCAGTCGAGCTGCCTCCCTCCTGGGGGCTGACGCCGCTGTCAAGACCTACCACAGCTGCCCACCTCTGCTCAAGCCCTCACACCCCCAGAAGCGCTTTGTTCCGTTTGGAGCTCTCAACCCCTTTTCCGGGCCTGCCTACCCCTCAGGCCCTTCAGTGGCCTCCTCCTCTGGGCCCCCAGCCACTGTGGGTCCCCTGGCTACCTCTAGCCCTGCGTATTCCCCAGGCCCAGCCTCACCAGGCCAGGCCTATTCAGCTGCTCCCCCCTCCTCCTGCCCCACGTCCTCCTCCTCTTCCTCTGAGTGGCAGGAACCAGCCCTGGAGCCCTTTGATCCCTTCGAGCTGGGGCAGGGCAGTTCTCCAGAGCCTGAGCTGCTGCGCTGCCAGGAGCCCAGAGCTGTGGGGGCACCTGGGCCTGGGCCCCATCTTTCACCACTTGGTCCCCTCAAGGCCTTTGAGCCTGAAAGTTTGGTGCTGCGGCAGGTCCCCACCCCACTGTCACCAGCTGCCCTGCAGGGGCCTGAGGCAGGAGGAGCACGGCTTTTTCTCACTCAAGGGCGCCTGGAAGGGCCTCCTGCCAGTCCCAGGGATGGAGCCACAGGCTTCGGAGGCCGGGATGCCTCCTGGCAGCCCCCTGCTGACCTGTCTGCACTCTCCCTGGAGGAGGTCTCTCGAAGTCTGCGTTTCATTGGGCTCTCCGAGGACGTGGTGAGCTTCTTTGCCCGAGAACGCATTGATGGTAGCATTTTTGTGCAGCTCAGTGAGGACATCCTGGCGGACGACTTCCACCTCACCAAGCTGCAGGTCAAGAAGATCATGCAGTTCATCAAAGGCTGGCGGCCCAAGATCTGAACTGCCCAGCCTGAGCTGCACAGTTGGAACGCTGGCATGGAGAACCTGGGGGCCAGCCGTGGGTCTACCAGGGGACAGTATTCCCTGAGAAGCAGGTCCTGCCTGCGGGGAGGATCTATGCCAAGACTGAGGCTGCTCGGCGGCAGGAGTGAATCCAGGGGAGACGCACTTGGAAATGTGGTCCCCTGAGGTCAGACGCCTGCATGTGGGGACATCTTGCCTTTTAAGTGTGCAGACTATGTGGGGAGGCGGCTGGAGGGCACCACTGTGCACCTGGGACTGTGAGGCATTTGCTGCAATTCCCACAGCAGGGCCGAGAGCTGGCCTTCGTGGTGACCTAACACCTTCGGTGCCCTGCTATAGACATTCACAGACATCTTGCACTTCTCAAGCTTGTAGGTTCAGGTTAGGGACAAGGGAATGAAGAGGGCCCACAATTCAAGCACAAATCCCCCAAGTGCCCATTCTCCTTTGTGCTCTGTGGGCTTTTGGCCTAAAGCTGCCCGAGAGTCGGGGTGTCGATTTCTGTGTCTCTGGGATCCCCTTCCTTTCGCCTCTGCTCCGCCATGATTGAGGTGCCTGGCCCTGAACACAGGCAGATCGTGAACGAGCCTGTACCCCAGCACCTCAGAGGTGCCACCTCTGGGTTCTGGTTTGTGGGAGACGGCTTTGGAAGAACACTCTCTGCTATCGACCTGCTCCTCTGGTTAGGGAGGCACATGCTCCCCAGACGTCTCTAGCACCCTGGCTCCCGTTCTGACTTCGCTGCAGCCAGTCATCCCTCCCCTCAGGGGGTTTCAGTCGCAGAATACTGACTGTGTGGAAGGGCAGGTCGATTTAGGTCAGCTGCTCCTTGATTCTAGAAGCAAGTGGTGGTCAGTCACTCTCACTTCTGCCAGTCTCCTGCCCCCATCATTTGGCTCTGACGGACATCTGGTGTCCCTCCCCGGTTTTCTGTCACTAGCACAGCAGGGTCCAGTTGGGAGAGAAAGCACAGTGGCTTGGGAAAGCCTGCCTTCTTCCTCCTCCTGGGGCTCAGTCCTGCCCTTGTTCACATGCTTCAGAGCAGATCTTTGTGCCCTTGAGTCTGAAGCGTGGTGATCTCCGTGACACCCAGAGCTCTGGTCATTGTGTACAACCACCCCATCCCCACCCGACCCCACCACAGCTGCCCACCCAGAACCACAGAACAGCCACTGGTGTCAGGGCCTCAAAGGTACCAGCCTTCTCTTCTGCCTTACCTAGTCTACCTAGATATTTATTTACTCCATTTTTTATCTTAAGAGTAGCGAAGCCATGCTTGTGTCCATGCCCCAAGCAGGCTGCCTCAACTCTGACAGAGGGCGGTCAGAGAGTAGAGCACAGAAACTGTGACGTGGAGACATTTGGTTTTCTTGCAGATCATTTAATGAATCCTCATGGACTAGTGAAATAAATGCTAGACCACTAAAGAATAGTGCAAGTGGAATTGTGGGTGTCAGCTGCTTTCTTCTTTTTGGAGGGCCACGGGGACCCATGAACACAATGTATATGGCTCTGGGCAGGAGAGGACATTGGAATGGTGTGTGCATGTGGCCCATTCCCATGTCCCTTGTTCCCTTCTGCAAGTCCCTCACCAGCCCCTCCCTGCCCTGCAAGAACCCTCCAACTCCTACTCATGTTTTGACATAATTCACACCTACCTGGTTGCTGAAGGGAAAGACCCAGATGTCAAAGCTCAATATCACCAGCCAAGGCCCAAGTTTAACTTCCTGCATTGGCAGAATGCCTGCCTCAGGCTCTCTCAGAACCCTACATTTAGAAGCCTGTTAGTGGCCTTGGTGCAGAGGATCAGTTCTCTGCTGTCTACTGGTCATCTGAAAACCCCAGTTCAGAGATGACTGGGTTTTAGGGCCTGGCTTCCTAGCAACCAGCAGTGTTTATTTAGGAGCGCCAGAGCTAAGCTCCCTGCCTGCTAGTTCCAACTGCCGAGCTGGGACCAGGGAAGTGCTTGAAGTCCTTGCAAGTGGAGCAGAAGCAGGAGTAATTGGTCGTACCTGATGGTTTAGAATGCAGAGTGTGATGGGACTTGAATTATGATTCCGCACACACTGAGTGTGGATCCTTCTGCCAGACCCAGTTAGGAGCCCTCCCGCTGTTTACCCAGACTGGGCGCTGCTTCTGCCAGAATGCGAGTGTAGGAACTTTCCACACTGGGGTCGGGTGGGGGAGAGCTGGGGCTAGAGCGGAGCATGGGCGGCATGGGGTGTATCAGCACTGTACCTCTGTACCATTCCTGCACTGCCTCTGATCGCTGCACAGGCTTCTTCCATGCTCTGGCAGCCATGCCATGCAGGATCAGGGAAATGGCTCCCCTGCTTAACTCCAACGTTCCCACGGACTTCCTGAGAAGCACCCACAAACAAGGATACACCAAGAAAAGAAATGGATAAAATTGTACAATGAGGAAATCCAGTTTGGGGAAAGAAGTATCTTTCATATCCTGGTACGCCATACCTATCACATTTCTGCTGCTCAGGTCAACCAGGGCCACTCCCTCATGGTGGGTGGATGCCCAGCCTAGCATTTAAGCAGGTGTACATGGCTTTAGGCACACCAAGTCCCACCTTCTCTTGTCACAGTCCCTCTCCCAACACATTTTTGCTCCGAAAACACAGGGCTATTTCTTCCAACTCACTTCTTGAAGGAGGGGTTTAAACCGGAAGGGCAAAGACAGAAAAAAAAGGAATAGGCAGGCACAGAGGCTGCTATAGAGTTTGGTTTTTATTGTTATGTGTATTTGGCTGGGTGCAGAACGGCGCCACCATCGGCCACCCAGGCCTCCCTGGAGGAACAGGCAGCAAAGATGGCTCCAGATGGCTCTATGTTGCCACGTGGGGCCTCAGGGGTTACAAAATGAGCACAGTGGGTTCCACCTTCCAACATGAAGTGCAAACTCTATTTCATAGTCAGACTTCACCAGGAGGGAGAGATGGCTGAAGGCACTTTAATCAAAGAGCAAACCCAGTGCCAGAGTTCGTCCTTCCTTCCGGTTGCTCTGATGGAATCTGGACACCACTCTGCTGGAGAGCCAGCACCGCCAGCAGCTGGGGTTAGTGCGCTGACTGGGCGGGTGTAAGGCCCTGCCTACGGGTAGAACTTCTTGTTAGGGCTGCTGGCGTGGTCCATTAGCAGCTGGCAGGGGGTGAACTGTTTTCCGTAGGCATCCTCATACCTCCTGAGCCGGTCTACTATCTTCTGAGCACCATACAGATCCAGAAAGCGGAAAGGCCCTAAATGGAGAAACAGGACTTTGCTGAAGGAGACAGTAACGTGAGCTCTGTAAGAAAGCAAGCTACCTGCCCAGCCTGCAAGACCAACCTCCAAGACAAGCGGGGAAGCCAAGCCCGAAGACCGCTCCGATGTCTCCCTCTGCAGGTGTGGCCAAGATCCCTTCCTGCAGGCACATGACTGCCTCATTCACAAATCTTGTCACCAGGCGGTACTGGATGTCTTCATCAGAGGAGCTGCCCACAGGAAGAGACACTTAGGTAGAGGAAGAGGGAGAGGGAAGGAAAGCAGGAGCTGCAGGTATGGAAGGCGAAGGAGGATGGGTGGAGGGGAGCTCTGCGGGCTGGTCGGCACTGACCCTCCCACTCTGTAGAGAAGACTCTGCCAGCCTTTCCCTTGGAAGAAGTGGAGAGTTACTTACCCTAATTAACGTGAAACTGAGCACCCAGAACAGGGCCTGGCACTGAGGAGATAATCAGTATCCCTTGACATCCGCAACAGCCAGTTGCTCACAAATGATAATAAAGATCTGGGAGAGGAAGGGGCCTGAGAATCGTGGGACCTCTGGGCTCTCTGGGACCTGCACAGAGAAGGCTGGAGCAGGGAGGGGCCTTCACCAGGCTCAGCCACATTCTCACCTTGATGCCTGGCAGAGACTGAGAGGCACGTGCCAGGGCTGTACGCTTGTAAAGCACTATTCCATTCAGGTAGGGTGGGCATAAGCAAAATGGGAGAGGGGCTGAGCAGCTTTGGGCTGCCAGAGAAACATCTGTTCTCAGGCCATTAGCCACTCAAATCGACTTACACTTCAGACTTAGGAGGCAACTTCAGAGTTGCGAAAATACTGTCCATGTCAGAATTCAAGTTCTTATTCTTCACACCCTCCTGGTAGATGTAAAAGCCCTTCCCAGACTTGCGACCTAAAAAGAAGCAAGAAAATGGTGTTACTATTTGTTTGTTCTCAGAACTCTGGCCTGAGAATTCTTGTCTCTCCTGGTCTGCTATAAAGCGCTGATAGCTTGATACAGCCAAATCTGTGTGTATCTGGTGAGAAAGGCCACTTGGATGAGTTTTAATGTCCAGACATGGAACACCTGGCCCTAGGATGCCTAAGTCCTAATGTTGATCTTGCTGCCATTTTGCTGAGAGAGCACGCCACCTCTCTGTGAGCCTCAACTGTATACTCTGTATTGAGAAGTTTTACTTCCTCCCCACAGGTGGCCAGACAATATGTAAAGCCTGGATGCAGAGCTTGCTCCTGCAGTATCACGCATGTAGCAGACGCTGTGGGCAGGATGAACATGCCTGTCCATCTGGCACAACTTCGGCCAGGAGGCTAGAGCTCTGCCTTGTCCATAATCTATAGGCCTAGCCTAAGAGGAGGTTCTCATGAAACCATTTTTGAATTCCTCTGTGACAAGGGCTCTGTGTTTAGAAAACTCTGCCACGTGGGCCTTCTGTAACCCTTTGGTCTCAGGAAACTGCTCAGAACTCTAACGGTGCTAGTTATGCTCCCATGAGGCTACTCACCCAGGAAGCCCTTCGACACCATCTGTTGCAGCAGTTCTAGGCTTCCACCTGCAAACCGCTCCCCAAAGGTTTTGCCTAGATCTTCTGCCACATGTTTTGCTACATCCACACCAACTTCATCCACCAGCGTGGCAGCACCCACAGGGAAGCCAAAGCCCGTGGTCAGGGAATCCAGCTTCTTGGGGTCAACTCCTTCCTGAACAGGAGGTGAAGCAGAGACTTCAGGGGAAAGCTAGCTCAGATCCCCCTGCAAGGGCTCCCTGTACTGGCCCCCAGACACAGCCTTGTGCAAAACCCACTTCTCTTCTGGGTGGCTCCTGGCAAGCCCAGGTCTGATACTATTTCTTTTAGGAAGACACGAAGATGTTTGGGGGCCACAAGTGGAAAGTCTGAGCCTTCTCTTATCTACAGTACTTTAAGGAAGTTTGCAGATGACTAAATCATTTATTTGCTTCTTATTTGCATTTCTGAATCTTAATAATAAGGAGATTTCATGGCCGACAGAGCAGAATGTGCCATGACTGACAGAATGAACACTATCAAAGCGCAGTGCTGCAGAGCCTGTGGTCCCTGAGTCTAGGTGAGTGCCCTGTGAGGATCCCCCTCCATTCCTGCCAGAGTGGCCTGGACGAACACCGGAGGGGTCTGTGTGCTGTGGAAGCAGACGCAGCACCAGTCACGAAGCAGGCCCTGTTCTGGATGGTCCCTGCCTCAGAGGGGTCAGGTGCAGAAACAGCAGAGAAGACATGTCGGGAGGCTGTTGGCTTGACAGACCAGCACAAGGCAGAAAAGGGGAGGTTAAAGCTCTGCCCCTTTTAGTGTCACATGAGCCCTGTGACTGCCCACTGCAGAGGGAGGGCACAAAGGGCCTTCCTGGACAAGAGGCAGGAGTTGGTGTGTCAGAAGGAGGCCTGCCTCTCAACACTGGCAGTGTCGAGGCCTGACTGAAGGAGTGGAAGGCGTCTCAGACGCTCCAGAGAGCAATACCGACCTGGAGGATTCGGATGACTTCAGACATCATGGGTGCAAGACACCTGGTGGTGTAGAAGCCAGGCCCATCCTGCCAAAGGAGAGAACATGAGCTCACTGGTTGCCCTGTTGCTGGTACCCCCCAAGTCTGAAACCAGTCTCCCTTTCTCAAGGTCACTTTAGTCATTTCAAATTTAAGGTGATTTAAAATCTCAACCAGAATCCTTAAAATTAAATTGCAGGGGACGCCATACACAGCGGTGGCCTGGCTTGAATCAAACAGCACAGAATATAGTTTGTGGCTAGGAGAACCTTGCCACATCCAGACACTCCCCACTCCCAACTCGACTCAGCAGGACAGAGTCAATACCACTGTCCATGCTGGAGATAACCCAGGAAAATCATATCAAAAGCTGGTGTATTTGCCCCAGAATAGTTATAAACAAGCCTGGAGGTAAAAGGAGTCTTCTTAGAACTTTTTAAAATCTGCTGCTCTGTTACACAGCTCCTTACCTTAACCACAATGATGACCTTCCCCTGCTTGAGCCCAACTGCTACAGCTGAGGCAGTTGTGTCCTTGGAGGTTTTTTCAGTTGTGATAATCTCCAGCAGCTGCATCTTGTCCACGGGAGAGAAGTAGTGCATGCCAATCACCTGGCAAGGGAACCAAACGCCAACAGAGTGAAGCATGCTGAGG